CCTCCCATCTTGCGGAGCCGTTTCTTCTTCCGCTCCCCCTCGGGCTGCGACGTCGGCGTGGCCCCCTCCGGGCGCCTGCTGCCGGCACGCGCCGCCCCGCCCCCTCGGGGAGGAGATGGGGGAGGGGTTCCTTCCTGCTTCCTCTTCTCCCGGGCGTCGGCAGGGTGGCCGCTCCCCGGGCCCCCGTCGCGGGGCCCAGAAGCACGACCCCCTCCCGGGGTAGATTGTTCCCCCCTGCGGCTCCCGCCCGCGCCATCATGGCCTCGAGGAGCCCGCTCCTCCGACGCCCCGACCGCCTGCATGATGGTCAGGATGGAGGCGCGGTCTGGATCACTGCAGAGGGGGAGGACTCCTTGAGGAATGAGGGATGCCTCCACGGAGCTGAGATTCAGCACCCGTTGGACCACTATCTTGAAGTCCTCAGGAGCCCAGTCCCATTTGACCCCCCGGTGGGTCCTCATACAGTCCTCGGACCCGGTGTACTCCCAGGCACCCCGGGCGCGCCGCTGGAGTGGCGCGATCCGGCGACGAAGATAGTCACCGTACACCATGGCCCCTGTGAGCCCCAGGGATCGCAGGCCCGCCAGGCGGTCGAGGACGGCGTCATAGCCATCTCCCAGATCTACCGGCGCCCGCCAGCTGGAGGCCTGCGCCGGGGGCTGGCTCGGAAGTCGGAGGCGCGCTTCGTCGGCGAGGGGGGTGTAGAACCAGTCGCTCTTCCAGTCATCCCACTTCTTGCGGAGGACGCAGGGAATGTAGCGGTTCAACACCGGCCCCCGCGGCTGGAAGTAGCAGCCACCAACCACCGACGGCGGCGACACCGACTGTATTGTGAAGAACCACCGGAACAGCCGAAGGGATGGGCGCACCCCGATGAACATCTCGCACAGGTGCGCGAAGATGGCCAATGTCATTACCGCGTTGGGGGTGAGGTGCGCCATCTGGAGATCGTAAAACTTCAGAACATCCATGAAGAAAGAAGAAAATGGCGGAACCAGCCCTGCCATTGCAAAAGGGAGGAAGAAGACGGACCGCCCCGGGTAGCATGGCGCCGGGTGTCCCTCGCCCAGCGTAACTATCTCCCGGCCGGTGGCAGATTCCGGCATGAAGCGGCGCGGCAGCCCGCCCTGCCTCTCGCTCACGATGCGGGAAGGCGGCAGCACGCTACCATCAAGCAAAGCGGAGCCCCGTGCCATGACGCCGGAGGAAGAGATGTTTAAGAGCGAGCACGTGTGGCGAAGGTAGGGCACAGGAAACAAGGAGTTAGGGCGCAAGCGGCGAAGACAAGGGGAATAATGGCGAGAGGAAGGAAGCAAATCTCTTCCTCGGCGACTTTATACCCTTGCCAACGCTGTGCCCAGCTCCTCGTTTCTCGCGCCCACTATCTTGCCCCCTCGTTTCTCGCGCCCACGCTTCCACTAATCCCATTCGCCCGTTTGCGGTGCATGAGGTGGATATGCGGCTGTGGCAGTCGAGATGGAACATCTCGTGCGCGCGTTAATTACGCTCGCCGACCAAAGCGCCATCACCATATCTCCAGGAAAAACGAACCGGCTTGTCCCGATTTTTAGACCGGCCCCACCATGTCACCAGGCCTTAGGAAGTGGCGTCACGTCCGACCGCTTCCCTCGAGGAGGGCGATCGCCCTGGCATAACGCCGGGGGCTACTGTCGGTGACATGGGACCGGGAGTATCATGACTTAGAGACTTGAGGCAGACACGATCACCCACGTGGCCTAACCCCCTCGGGGGGGGTCGGGCCCGAGGGTGATACGGCCGCCCTTCTCTTTGTCTCCCCGAGGGGTCGGACCGCTCCCGTCTCGGCCCCGAGGGCCGAGGCGCCCCGACCCCTTGTGGGTTTTGCGCCGCGTATATGGGGTAGGTGAGCATAGCGGGGCTCACCTAACCACATTTATTGCGGTTTGGACGAGCGCGTCACGCCGCATGTAACGCAGTGCAGCGCGCTCGTTTATCCGGTCTGTGACCAGTCACAGACCGATCAGATCGTGGGTTAGGTGGCGACAGGCGGTCTGACGCACGCCTCGCCCCATCCCGTCAGGATGAGAGCCTCCAAGCACTCGTCCTTAGCCGGAGCCGGCGTGTTAGCTCCTGGAGATGGCACGTTGGTCCCGGTCAGATATATACCAGGCTTCATCCTAACCATTACAAGCAAGACACTGTATGAAGAGGGGCGAATATGCAGATTGATAAACTGACGCGTGGTGGACAAGAATGACCGATTTGTGACCGGTCTGACACTGATCATGTCGTCAGCAGACAGCCATGTTCCCACGTCGCGCCTGCTTCCGGCGGAAGTGGAGGTAGGTATGGGCTGTCCCATCAGAAGGTCATTCGGACGGCAACCATACAAGTCTCCGTCTGTTTATGAAAAGATAGGATAAGTCCCCACAAAAAAGAGAGAGATGGTGCATGTGGTATCCCCTTGAGGTATAAAAGGAGGACCTTGCCCACTTAGAAAGGGGATTGATTTTCGGATCCAGAAGGATCAGAGAGGGAGAGAGTAAGAGCTCTCTGGTTCTCCAGCTCTTTTGTAGCTTCTTCATACATAGATCCATAAAAACACAGGAGTAGGGTATTACGCTTCTCAGCGGCCCGAACCTGTATACATCGCCCGTGTCTTGTGTGCTTCCATTCTCGCGAACCTTCCACACACAGACTAGGAGCTTAGAATCTCACCCAGGGCCCCCGGCCGAACCGGTAAAGGGGGGCCTGCGTGGTCTCCCGGTGAGGAGCCCCACGCTCCGTCAGATATCTATTCAGATTTTATTTTACCGCTAGTATGTGTCACATTTTATGCTAGGTTTGTTTATGGCTCGAATCTTTTCGTATTCGTGAAAATCGAGCATCTTTTTAAGTTTCAGCAGTTTTGTAAACCCCAATTGTATGATGCTTAATTTTGCCTATGCATATCCTTTTCTTAGCCATGACATAAGAATTTGTTTTTCTATCTAACAAAACGGTAGTCACATATAGCTTGGACAAAATTAACCAAGAAATCGAGCATTTGGTATGCGGCATCGTACTAATAGAGGAAAGGGGAGTGAATTCGATCTGAAGTCAAGTCTGAACCGCGCGATTGTGACAGCATCATGCCACAGTATCCGCATCAAGTACAGTACACCAATCAAGGCTCCTATCGGATGGCCTAATCAGCCAAAGAAAAAGCCAAATTTTAAATTTTCAAACTTAATTTTAAGATTGATTTTAAGATATTTTCAACGTAGTTTCTTTTACAACATTGGCTTTTAAATCACCAAGAACACATTTATAAAAGTTTCATCTACAAATTTATTTTTATTTACTAATAAGCCGGCTTATTAGGAAATAAGCCAAACAATGGGACCCAATTGAAACCGAGCCCCCTCCGCGATCACGCCTTGTCGGCGCCGAAAGAATCATTTACGACTGGCCCTGCAGGCCCCAGCTGCAGTAGTAGCTGCGACTTTGATCCGTGCGAAACATGTGACCGAATACTGATGTGTCGCGCACCGGATGCTCGCTCGGTCACCCTCCGGGAGCCAAGCCAGCAACTCGGACATGGACACGGGCACACGGCGCTGGTGGATTGGTTGAAAGCGAGAGTTGGGGTCGTGCTATGTGCGTACGCGTGTGATGCGTCGTAGGGGAGGCGCTGCTTGTCGAATCGGCGGTCGGTCGGTCGAATCGGCGTATACGTGTTTATCGTCTCACGCGCATGCGTCGTCGATCGGTCCGATGGTCGGAACAGTGGTGATGCATCGCTTTCTGCTGGGATATCGAAAAGAGGGTTCCGTAGAGCCGTATAGCCAGGTAGGTGGCCGGCGATCCGGAAAGGGATTGCGTACCTGAGATCGAGTGTCTAACGCTCGGAGGGCAAAATGAGTAGTTGCATACTTGCATTGGCTCGAGTATATACTGCTTTCTCCATTCTAAATTGATTTATATATAATTTTTTTTAAGATTATTTCTAAATGATCTACATATTTATTTTTATTTATTAGAGTCTATTCGTTATTTGTGCATTGGAGTAAATAAACATTGATTCATACATCCATACACATAAGTATTTATAACCCACATGCAATATCTTGATTTGCTATTGACTAGAAAATATTGGGATGATGCATTCATTGAGTTTGTTGCTAGAGTAAATATAGTATGAGAGTTATTAGCTTTTCTTGGTATTGGTGTACTTATGAAATATGTAGATCAATTTGGAATGGATGGAGTATATAGCATAAAACGACACTGGAGGTAGTAAATAGTGACAGACGTACAGGTTCTGATTTTTTTTTTTTGAAGACTACAGGTTCGGAATTGGATTGGCTGTGTTCGTTTCAACCCACTCCCAACCCCTCTCTCTCGTTTTCCGAGCGCACACTTTTCAAAGTGCGAAATGGTGTGTTTTTTTAAAAAAGTTTCTATACGAAAGTTACTTAAAAATTTAAATTAATCTATTTTTGAAAAAATAGATAATACTTAATTAATCACGCGCTAATGAACCGCTCCGTTTTCCGTGCGAGGAGATGAGTTCCCAACCCCAGGAAGCGCGCACTCTGCGGCTCTCCGCTGTCTGGTCCAGTAGCTAAGCCCAACCTGATCAATTTTTGGTGGGCATTGGCCCAGCATGAGTCCAAAAACAGCCCAAGGTTGGGGAGAGGAATCGTAAATAAACTCTAAATTCTATAAACTGTAACCCTTGTCAGCTCATCTGAACATCGAAGTTTAGATAAAGATGGCATACGATGAATTGAAAGAACGAAATGTCGAATTATGCAGTGATTTTTGTGGCAGGATGAATTTTCTCTGAACAGCATCCTGAGCGATTCTCTTTTCTTCTAAAATAACAGTAGGATCTTGCAGCTTTTTCAAAAACAAATCCTGGCAATAGTTTATTGTGGGGAAGCAAATCAATTACCCTGGCAAATTTTAAAACGTCAGGTCGTTTACGGTTTCGGTCCACTACCGTCTACCGTGCTTGGAAGCTGAATCAGTGCATATGTTCGAACTGATACGCAGACTAGTACTATTGTTTGTAAATTAGTGCACAATAACGTCTCATCGAAATAGGAATTCTTATACAGCTATCTTTTGACGCTACACGGAAGTTCGACGCTGGGAAAGTTTGACTACAAATGGACTCAACATATGACAACACAACATAGCAAGTTTTAACAAACTTGGCGCATTCCAGCAAGTAGGATCTCTCAGCCATGGTTGAAGGACTGGTAAACCGGAACCTGCAAAAGTAACATCACATCCAGCGCTTAGCAACTCCAAAAATATATTACCAAGTCCCGTAAGGAACCAACTAAATGACCCACTATTGGCATAACCACAGTAAAATCATAGTGTACGATTTGTATGCAAAAATAAGTAAATAACCAAATCAGACCTAAACAACGGAAAACCTTACATCAGGCTAACTTCATTGAAAATATCACGACTCATTCATATTCTTTTGGGGTCTATGCAAGCAATGGACCATACCCAGGTACTAACCACCGAGAATGGCAATAGTAGAAATGATCATGTATTGATTTCTAACCTTTTGTATATTGTATAGCTGGAAACATCTTTTAACTATACAAAAGGTTAGCCTACCGAATTTGGGCCACTAATGCTAGATTTTAAAAACTCTAATCCACATAGACTAGATACAACACACGCTATAATGTGTACAATAATTGCACAAATGTACTGACTTTATGATATGAAAGGTCAAAACCCAGTGAATGGCTCACCTGAGAAATCATATGCCCAAGATTGTCATAGCAATGGGGGTATATCATTGCTGGAGTTGGCCACTGTGGGTAGACAGCAGTTCCAGAAGAGGAGCCCATAGATAAATCGGGTTGGCCAAAGTACACAGAAGGTTGGTTTCTTGACATATTAGCAGACTGCATAAAACCAACACCATACTGCATAAACTGTGGCACAACAAAATTGAAGCCACCAGGACTCACATTGAAGTCGTGCACTGGGCCCCTAACATACCTGCAAAAAGTTTACATGTTACTTCTTAGTAATCTCATCATTGAAATCCAGTAGTTGAAGCAGAATTTGAAAGGTGCAACTAACCTCTTGTAGTTACGATCATAGTCAGGATCACTACGATCCTTTTCAGTGTCCTTAAAAACAGCAACTCTGGAACGGCTGTTCATTGTGTTCACCTTATTCTCATCAACAGGAGGCTCAACATTAATTGGTTCATCTCTCGCAACAGATAAAGCTCCCAAATCACTTGTGCCTTCAATATCAGAAATGGAACCGTTGAAAATGCGTGCTCGTGCTTTGTTGTATTCCTCTATCCTCTCTTCAACAGTTCTTGCTGCATTGTTCTTGGCACCGGCATCACCTGCACCATTTTGGAAAGCCTTGGGCCTTGGACAAATAACAAACTTAAGCTTCTCTGCAGCTTCATGCTCATTTCTTGCTTGTTTGCTGGGAACTTCTGACAATGCAATAACTGGAAGTTTGCTTTCAGATGTTTTCTTTGCAACTATCTTGCTAACTGAACCATCTACTAAGCTATCTGCTACTGTAGTCTCTAAACCATAGTGTTGTGCAACACGATGAGCAGCACAGCGGAGATAAGAAGTTGGAAAATGCTGGAATTCGAATTCATGCAGTTGAGGATTCTGCATAAATTTCTGTATATCCATTGCCATACGCAAAACTGCAGTTAAGTAGAATATGATAGTGAGTTATGTAATCAGAAAGAAAATTCAAATAAAAATACATTATTGATGAACTGGATCACAAAAAAGAGGCTTAATTCAGGTGAAAGATTCACAATTCAAAGTCGTGGAGGTTTTTTGAGTTTAGTGCATAGAGAAATAATATGACAGCACTAGCACAAAATGTAGTTCGATGCAGAAAAAATAAACAGCACTGAAAGATGCAAAGACAGGATGTGTCGCCTAGGCAACATAATCCAGGGTTTGCTTTAATCCATCATCCATAAGAACTTGAAAAGAAAGGAAAAAAGAAGATAAAAAAGAAAAATAGCTGCAAGTGAAAGGAGCTCAGCTCATACTCATCCTCTCATGGAGATACTGAAATGAGACTCACCAATCACCATCCTCCCTCACTGTAGCTTTGTTCTTATGTGTACCATTCATATCAACAAGAATGGCTCTATCGGTGTCATATCAACAAGAATGGCTCTATCGGTGTCAGCTATAGACTAAGCAGATTAATCCAAACAAAAATGTTCACAATGCATTGAGCTCAACTACTCAACATACAGTATTTTCATCCAGCTCTAGCTGTTATTTCAACATAGTAGTTTTGAGAATAGAGGACAGAAACCACATGGAAATTCCTCCAAGAAATAAACATATTGTTCTGGTATAACCTTACAAGTTAATAGCATGGCACTAAAAAGTTATGATGCCTATAATTGATTCATGTTCCCCAATCAATTTCTCAAGAACTTTAACAGGTTCAAATAGTATGTGACTAAAATTCGACATGGAGTTTCCAGCACAGTGAGATGTTCAATATCAACTTCAATATGTTACCTAATTTCTAAAAACAATAACCTAAGTTCAACATCAGTCCATTATTTATTGATAAGTCCATTCCCCTACCACAAACAATTAGCAATAACATCCACACGTTTACAAATATATCAGCGACAATGAAGCTAACTCCTTACATGGCTCTGTCACCAAACAAAGTTATAGCAAGCTGCAACAAGGAATGTGCTGCAAGCTTAAGAGGTAGACAGATTGCTGGAATCCAACCCAATTTCGCACGGATTTTTAGCAAATCAACTGTACCACCGCCCTCTCCTAGCTACCTCGAACCAGAGGGAAACCTAGTCCCCAAATTGCACACCTAGAATACGCCGGGACCAAAACTCTAGCGACAGCCGGCACAAATCCGAGCCTAATCCGACCGCGACCAAACGAATTCGCCGCACGAGCACACCCAAACCCTAGCCGCGGGCAGAGAGCTAAGATGAGAGGCAGCGGTTACGTACCCATGAGGCGGTGGCGAGGGTTGTCGAGCGCCTCGACGAGGAAGGGATCCACGTGCGAGGTGACCCTCCCGTCCTCCGCGGCGGCGGGCGGCGGCGGCGGGGGCGAGGCGGCGCCGGAGCTCATCGTGCGGCGGCGGCGGGTGGTGGTGGTGGTAGGGGGGAGGGGGGGCGGCGGAGAGAGAGAGAGAGAGGGAGGGGGGGAAGCTGCGCGGCCGGGTCGCCTGCCTCTCTCCCTTCCTTCCCCTCTCCTCCGCTTCCCGATCCCGAAGCGGCTGCGGCCTCCTGCGGACGGAGAGAGAGGAAGAGGCGTAGCCCGAGGGAAAACGAGAGAGAAAAAAAAAAAGATAGGTCCGCAGCGGCAGCACGGCTCCTGATTTTTGACGCCCGCGAGGTGCCGTTTGATTCAGGATCGGTGTCGGGGTCGCGTGGAACGGCTGTGACCGTTCGAGTCGGATCCGACGATCGGAAATAAGGTTTGGGGCCTTGGGTTGGGGGTTCGATTTTTATGCGCACGATATTGTAGATTTGTAGTACTTGGGGTCCTATTCAGTCTGAACAGGATTAGGATTGTGCTACGCTGTTTTTATCTACTTCTGGAGAGCTCTCAATGCCACATTTTTATTGTAACTTGTAGTAGTTGCTACGTGGAGAATTCGTATACAATCAAAACAGGATTACATTGTTTATCTACCTTTAGAAAGCTCTCAAGGTAAAACTTTTTAATTGTAACTTGGATCATTGCTACATGGAGTACTCGCATATCGTTTTAAAGTCACGAATTTCAAATGGTACCAAGAGAAGAAATACGTATATAATGTGACATATGTAAGTTCTTCACGAATTACAAATTCTACATAAGTTCTTCACATAAACTTTCAACTACATATTGCAAAAGACTAGTATAAAGTGACATATGTAATATTACAATTATATGTATATACGCTATTAGTCTAGAAGCCTGCGCCTCTGTAATATTTGTAATTTATAGAGTAGAGGCTTATGCATATATGCGAACATGTATTTCGTTTTTGTGTGAGGCGTAGTGTGTGATGTGTCCTTTCCATTTTAAATAAAGCTAGCGAGAAAAAAAATATTAAGCTAGAAAATTCGTATGTTATGTCGTGGAAGATTATGTGTATCCGTAAAACATAATGTTTATCAGGATATATCGATCTCTGTCGGTCGCTCTGAGAAAATGTGAGAAATGATCCAAATATATAAAATCGAAATGGCCCTATCGCGCGATGTGTCTCAAAGCCGTTCGATCATGCGCCGTGCCGTGGCATCCATCCGTGTGGGGCTTCGCAGGTGTGGCTTTGTTGTGAAGGATCTACACCACCACTCTGACCACACCTTGCAATCTCGCACGAGATCCCCGTTCACTGTTTGAAATCGAGAGTCGCACAAGAGAGCGAGATGCGGAGGCTGCAGTTTCTCCCCAAATCCATTGATAGCAACAACAACCACTGATTTCAAGAAAATTATAAATGATCCCCTTTTGGTCCGTGATTTCAACTGGTTTCAGCTCCACATTTAGAGATTTTCGGACAGATTTTAAGATTTTATCATATGACCTAAATAAATCGACTGAAACCCTAACCCGCCGTCGGCCAAAACCCTAGCTCCCCAAGGTGCCATCATCAGCATCGTCATCCTCGCAGCCATCAACTAGGGTTGAGGGCAGCGGATCCGCCCCTCCCGAGGACAACGTTGCTGGATCCGCCGCCATTGAGCTCCACCGTCACCACCCGCTATTGTCGTCCTCACCCCTCCCGGTGCCAAGGGCGACACCACCAGATCTGCCGTCCTCAAGCTCTGCCGTCATTATCACCCCCTCGGAGCTGAGGGCGGCAAATCCGCCCCTCCCGAACCTAGAGGGAGCTGCTCCCGAGCCCACTACTGTTGGCCTCTCTCGAGCATTCCGTTGTCACTCCCGGCCGCGACCGGCCTCTCCTGAGCTCACCGTCGTTGCTCCCGCCCACGGCCAACCGCTCTCGAGTCTACTACCGTTGCTCAGGAGAGGAGTGCCCGGATATATGAGGGAGATGGAGGGGAGGATAAGGAGAGAGAATGAGGGAGGAGTGGATAAAAATGAGGGAGTGGGACATTTTTTTAGGTGGAGAGAGGTTGACTGGACTTTTCACCACGCGAGCGCCCAGGAAAATACATTTTTTCATGTTGATTTTTTTAAGGAGCTATATGTGAAAATGCTGACTGATTTTTACAGGGACGACCAGTGGTGGTCAGTATGCAATCTATAGGATAACCTCGTCAAAAAAATCATTTTTTTTAATAGTGCCATGATGAAGGTAACCAGTAACGCGTGTCCTTAACCCATTGCCAGGACATATAGAGATGAGATAGGCAGATAGCTCGTAGTAGCTCCCTTTATCGGTAGCGCTATCCGTCGAGTTAAACAGTTCCGCAACAAGGAGTGGAGGCCGAGGATGACACGCACGCCGGAAAGCGAAACCAATGGCGCGGCCTGCCGGCCAGGACGGCTCCGCCGCGGGTAGCCCAGCGAAAAATTTCGGCAATTTTGCTTGGTCCAACGCGCAGGCTCCTCGGCGTCGGCATCACGGCGGGGGAAGCAACCGCGTGCGTCCACATGAAAACGTTTGTTTTCTCGGCAGGCGGCCGATGTTTGATGGGTTGCCGACTTGCCGTCGTTTTTTTTGCGCGTTAGCACAAGCCCAGTCACGATGGCACATTGGCACCCGTACGGCCGTACGGTCCATCACGTGTAGGAAATTGTGGTGGGTGTGTGATCGCTTTTGCTGATGACCCGTGGTTTTTTTTGGTTTACTGTTAGGATGCTTCTTACGGGATGAAAACAGCTGGAAACTATCGGAATCGGCAGCGTCTCTTTGAAACGGATATTCGATTGTAATGTTTATCATTTAAATTACTCAATTTTTGACGTTAATACAATAAAGAGGATATTAGAAAAAACAAAATTTGTATATAGCAAAAAAGGTAACGGTCGAAAACGGTATCCATTGTATGGAAAATGACACTCGGTCGATCGGGAATTTATGTGATCATTTTCACCCCTTCATATCTTGGCATGTGAATTGTGAAATAGAAGCTCCAACTCCTCGGAAAAAAAGACCCCTTTGAATCGTATAAATGGAAAAAGGAAGGAATAGAAAAAAACATATGATTATGATAGGAATTCAATGCAAAATAGGGGATTGCAAAAAAAACACACACACAAGAATGATCTTCTGATTGATTGGATTGTAGAAAAACATAGAAATCAGATGGGATAAATATACTCGAAGACAATTTTCCAAAATTTAGTACAAGACATCCAAAAATGTGTAATTAGCTGGGAGACACCGTAAGAATGCGTATTTGCTATAGGACACCACGAAAAACTGGTAATTAGCTGCTGGACACCAGCAAGTTATTTCGTTATATCTTGAGGAATTGGAGAGAGAAACAACAATGTAAGTACAATTCTACCCTTTTGATTTTTTTTTTCTTTTTCTCTATTCTTCTCTACTCCTTCCTTATTCTTTTCTACCTCTCATTCTTTCTATCTCTACTCTTTCTTCAAGCGAGCCCGAGGGGAAGGGAGAGCGTCGGCGACGGCACCGCGAGGCGTGGGCCGGTACGACGCCTCGGCTGGGGCGGCGTTGCATGGTCGCCCGCAGGGGGCCGGGGCCAGCACAACGCAGCGAAGGTGGCGCCAGAGCAAGAGGGGAGGTGGTGCCGACACGGTTGGGCGGTGTCGACTCGTAGTCGTAGGTAAGGGCAGCCGGGCTCGGCAAGCGTGATCAGGCCAGGAGCGTGGTGGCTCCGAGCCGGCTTTGGGTAGCTCGACCGGATGGCGTCAGGTGCTTCAGTCGGGCTCGGGAAAGAAGAGCGTGAAGACGACGTTGGGCCCATTGATGCGATAGCAGTGGCCCGGTAAAGGAAGGGAGTGGCTGAGTGGGGAGGCCGGCCGCCGCTTCGTCCTATGCCATCGGCGGCCTCCCCAGGCTTGCTAAAGAAGAGATCACCCCCATACCCGAGATCCCCATCCAACCTAACTCTATTGGGCGGCTGCAACACCACCGCCTAACTCCCGCCGGCCGAAGGAACTCCTTGTCCACCCACTCGCTTCGTCGGCTCCGGCGAGTCGTCGCTCCACCGCCCAATCTGGAAAGAAAGAGTGAGATAGAGAAAGGGGGGCTTACATGTGAGGTCCACATTGGATTCATTTGAGCCAAGGGCAAACTTGCCTTTAATATTTTTCTCTCTCCTATTCATTAAAAATAATAAAATAATATCGCAGGTATCCAACAGCTAATTACCAGTTTTTTTGATGCCCTAAAGCAAATGTGTTCTTACAGTGTCTCCTAACTAATTACATGTTTTTTTGAGGTTCTGTAGCAAATTTTGCATTCTCCAAAATATTTACAATATTCTTCATTCCATAGGAATTTGAGAGGATACAGTAAGATTTAATTCTTTGTATTAAAGCTCTCATATAAAATTTTTCTATATGATAAAAATTCTTTAAAATTTATATATTTTTCATGTGAATCAAAGGACCCCGAGAAGCCGCCAATTTCCTGCGGTGATGAGGAAGATAAATATGTTAGGTCCCACAATTTACCGCCAATTGCCTATGGCTGCAGTTGCCTTTCGTTAGCAATAGCGAGCGGACCACACATCTCGTGAGAACAGGCCAGCATATCCACGTTTGCCTTGTGAACGTATGGTACTGAAAAACAAACTAAAGAGAAGCTATGAACTTTCAAAAGGAAAAACGAACACCAAAAGGAAAAAGAGCCCGAATTACCCCCTACATCGCAAATAAAGTCATTTTACACGTTAAACTTTTTAAACCGGACAGAAAATCCCCCTAACCCAATCTGAAGCGTTTTTTTTAAATTATTACACAGTACAACGCAGACACTCACAACGTACACAAACTCACCCCTATAAACGCACACACGTAAATCCTACCTCTATGAGCATCTTTGAAGACTGGAACGGCAAATCCATCCTGGAGATTGACGAAGCCGATCACCATAGACGCCTCGCCGGTTTTGATTGTAGATGACGCACGAGTGGTAGTCTAGTTTAGGGGGGAAAACGGTTTTATTAAAATTGCGATGACATATTTTTAATGTCAAATCACAGTCGATTCTTTTTGCATTGGGTTTAGGCGGATACTCCTGCTTGTTTGTGCATTGTGACCCAGCGTGTTAGGTCTGGACCGCGTGAGAAGTAAACATGGTTGAATACAGTGCAAACGATGAGTAACGAAGGGCATACCCCTACACGCTAAGCTAAATAGCCATGCAGCGCTTTATTACGCATTCGTATAAAAATTACTCTACACTGTA